GTTTGGGAATTTATAATATTTCTTAAAGCGGATCGCATTCAATGACTGATTGGATCCATATCTTTAATATCTTTCCGATCAATAAATGTTACTATTGGTCACTTTTTTATTGCTTTAAAGTCACTATTTGGGCAATTCTTTCGTTATCGTATTCAATATTACTGTATAAAATACCCACTACCAGGCCTGCATATTGTTATTTTGCTGTCAAAATTGTATCATTACGTCTAAAAGGTCATTTTTGAACGCCTTTTTTGTTTAATGTAGATTTTTGTTTTTTAAATAACTGGGGAAAAACCGAGGATTGAAAAATGAAATATGCATGGACACTAGAGTGATGCAAAATTTGAAATTTTCGCTCCATAATACTTAAACGATTCCAAATCGGATCCTGACTAACCTCTCAAAATTTGAACCCATTTGGTGAGAAACTGAGATGGCACAAACCATTTGAAGTTTGTATGGGAATTACCATGGTAAAACCAAGATTTTTGTTCATGTCTATCTAATAATTCACCATATCGGTCTGCTTCAAAAACTTTCAACTGTACTTGTAGGAAATTTTCGCAGCTACAACTTTGCTGAAGACCACTTTTTGATTAAATGCAAGGATCGAAAGTTATCAATGGTTCAATGCGCTAATGTCTTATGATCATGCTCGATCAACTGCTCAGCAGGCAACATTGGTGTTTCTGGAGCGTTGAATAGGACACACAAATCATGGCTACTATGTCACACTGCAAAATACAGTGTTGCCGACAGAGCAGCTGCTTGATCATGTCATAAGTTTACCAATCTCTTGAATAATTAATAACTTTTTCCTGTCTCGTTTTACATAGAAACAATCTTCAGCAAAGTTGTAGCTGAGAAAATTTTCTATAGGAATGACTATCGAACTGTTTCGCAGCTCGATATGGAAAAAGACTAGAAGGCAATGAACAAAAAGTTGAGATTTCCCATAGTAATTTACATGTAAACTTCAAATGGCTTGTGCGACATCTGTTTCTAACCAAATGAGTTGTAACTTTGGGCTAATCAGGACCCGATTTGAAATCATTTAAGCACTGTTGAGCGAAAAAGTCAAATTTTGCATCAGTCTAATGGACACCCTAAGAACACCAAGACAAGGCAATTCTGAAAAGATTTTAATAAAAAATCTAAGAAACATTTCAATGGAATACTTATTAGTATGTATTCCATTGAAATTCAAATTTCAAGGTGGTTGATTTCTGGGGAAAATCCTGGTCAATTATGGTGTATAGGTATAGTGAAACTGGTCTACTAGTACAAGACCCTGTAGAAATTTGCACATTGTAGACAAAATACGCGTATCTGTTATGCATAACCAATTAAGATTGTGGAATTAAATGTAGGCAAGCTACTAATCCTTTTTTTTCTCAATTCCGACAATAGTTTGAACATTTTTTTGTATTTTGTGAAAAGTTCCAAATAAATCCTTAAGAGTTTTCCAAAGAAGATCTGTGCAGCATTTCAAGGAATGTATGGGACGTATACAAGGAAGGAACTTAGAGAATAACTCCATGGGAATTTCAGGAGAATTCTTTGGGGGAATCCTAAGTTATACTGCAAAAGTTACTTCGAATTTGAAAAGAACTGCAAAATGAATTCTAAGAGTGTAATCTACCTATCTTAGATAAACTTGATGGAAGTTCCTAACATATCCTGTGAAAAGTTCCAAGGGTATACAAATTATTGAAACATAGATTTTTTTTTTTAGGAAATCCTGGACTCAGAAAAAAACGAAAATCCAAGATTTGGCAAAAGTTCATTTATTTATTTATTGTATTTAGAAACGCTTAGATGATCCTGGATAATGAAAAAAAAAAATCGTCGAGATTCAGTAAAAATTTAACATTGGGAGCCGTAACCAAAATAACATATTCGTTATATTTAAAAAAAAAAAGGTGTTTTCAGGGCTGGTAGCACGTCACTTTTTAGTGACTTTGTCACTATTTTGAAGTCAGTCACTAAAAAGTCACTTTTTAAACCAAAAAGTCACTATTTCCCTAAAGATAGTCACTAAAGTCTCTTTTTCACAACTGAAATAGAGTGAAATGCAAAAATATCAACAACATTTTTAAATTGAGTACTTGGCACTAAGGAAGTTATAAAAGAATTCTGGGATGATGGAACTAAAGAGTTCAAAATAAATTCCGACAAGAATTCCAATGGAATCGGCTTTTGAGGGTTCAATCTAAAAGGAATTCTTGGAAGAGTTTCAAGGGTATTCTGAGATGGATTTTTGTTTTGAGAATTCTGAGAAAATACCATGGGAATTCTGAGGAGAATACGAATTGAATTTCCCATATAATTCAGGGGAGAAGCTCAAGATTATTCTAAGCAGAAATTTCTGATGTTAATTTCATGGAAATTCTAAGAAGAATTCAAGTAAATTTGAAATGGTTTTATGGGAAGAACCTTCACGGAATATAATCTACTTTAACTAATTATGATTTATTAATTAATAACGTCAAATATCAGACTTAAAGCGAAGTTATCATATCAAGAAGACTGGCAACTTTGCCATAATCGAAGCGACAGATACAATAGCGCTACGCTTGAGTGAAGGTGGAGCATAGAAAAATGAGCAAATACACAAACCTTTCTTCTGAGGATGTAATCTTTACTTTCAAATTCGTTGGAAGCATTTACCTTTGAGCGGCAGATAACGCGATTGTACGAGTCTCATAGCGTTCGAATGAGAAAATGGAAGAGTTGCCAGTCTTCGCTTAAAGTGAACATTTTATACGATAGGTGAGGAGATGAAAGTATAGAGTTGAGTACGGTAGTGTAAAAATTGTGTATAGAAAGTAGAAGTAGAAAGCAAGCAAAGGACATTTTTAGGAAGGTACGAATTAGGTATAGCAATCAGGTAGACGCTTACGTCAGATGGCGATTTGAGTGTGAAACAATTGATAGAACTGTTTCCGCACATTGGAGGTACATGAGCAAATCGGCGATCATCCCTTTTACCAGTGTGGCGGGGTGACATACCCCTCACTATCCCTCATCAACGGATAAGTTTGGTAAAAGGGATGCTCTACCCGATTCGTACCTTCCTCAAAATTGTATTAAGCTCGCCTTTTACTTTCACTATCAACTCTATACTTTATTAAAATGTCCACTTTAAATCTGATATTTGACGTTCAGCATCTCCAACTATGAAAATAATCTATTTCCAAGAATTTTGTCCATTGTTCTGCAAAGAGTTTCCAGAATGCAATATTATTTTTGTTAAGCTTGTTTTGGCAAGTTTAAGAGGAGTGGTATAATTCTAAAAAAGTTTTTGAGATCATTCTCAAAAAAATATATGAAATATTCTTAGCGAATTATCAAAGTTATATCAAAATTTTAAAGATGTCAATGGCAGAATCAAATTCAAGATCTTCGAAAAAAAATGCTTTCGTTTTAATGATCTATTTAACCCTATTTAAGCTGGTTTATCATGGTTTATTGGCTTATACATTAATTTTAACATATATCGCTCAATAAGAAACATTAAAAAAAAATTAAAGTCACTACTATTATATCGCATCAGCGCTACCAGCCCTGGTGTTTAAACACCTGGAAATTATAAGTTGTGTCCTGAAAATACCTGGAAAACTCATGGAATTCAGTTTAGCAAAATTAATGTTCTTATCTTCCACTGGTGGAAATTTCAGAGTGTTGTCTCTTAAATCAATGACCAAAAAACTGACGGCCCGGAAAATGTTGGTTCAACTTCTCTGATTTTTCCGAAATTCACATACTTTTAAAATCCATAGCTAAAGTAGTATTTTTTTTTTAGTTAAAAAGAATATATTATCTGAGCAGTACATAAAAAATATAAACTGAAAAATGTTTTCCATGAACATTTTCAAGGTTGAGGATAATTGCAATGAAAATCTTTCACTGGTGAATATTTCAGAGTGGTATATCTTACCGTTTTTGAGTATTTACCGAAAAACTAATGACCGGTTACGCGCCATTATAAGAAAAGCATAAAACAATCAAGAAAATGATAATTTTCATAGCTTTCCTATGACGGGCCGTTAGTTCTTCGGTCATATCACAAAAACGGTAAGAGACACCAATCTTAAATTTGAGGTCTTTCCTGCATCTTATTGGAATTCGAATGGATAGAAACCGCATATCACCCTCATGCTAAGGTTGTTTCAAAAGCAATCTCTTATAGTCAAACAATTCTCCACGCAAAGACGGTATTCCGCGATTCCATCTTGTGTCTCAAGATCTCTCGGTCTCGATCGCGTCCATCCCATCACATCACCATTGCGCTACCATGTAGCAGTGTGACACACAAAAACTTCCACTTCATAATGCCTCACACTAGCACGCGGCGACGAAGACACGGTCGTTTAAGCTGCGTGTATTTATTGTTGATTATTTTTATTTTTATTGCACATACCATCCATTCAGGCAGGCAGGCAGCCAGGCAGGGCGCCATCATCATCGCCTCGCATTCCTCTACAATATACCATAACAGTCTACTACTCGCTTCTACAACTACTGTGTTGTGATCTTGGGGGTAGTAGCCAGCCAGAAATGCATACGTTGCAAGTCGCGTGTGCCTGTATGGAAGGCGACGACTACGATGACGTTACGTTCGCGACCTAGAGTGTTGAGTTCTCGCTGCGGCTGCACTGCCTCAGGGCGTTGGAATGGCGAGATGGGGAATATCGATAAGGTCTCTCATACTCTCTCGTCTCACGAGCGGTGATCATGACATGAGAGAGTGTTGGATGGAAGAGAAGTGTTCTATACTAGCACTTTACTCCAACATTGCGTTTTGGGGCTGTGGGGATACACACCGTCAATGAAACTGGGTAGCAGTGAATACATACTAATGGGTAGTAGGTGTGTATTAGTCGTCTCTTGGTTGTGTCGACGTAGTAGTGGCAGCTCAAAGTACACGTCGTCGCCCTAGCCTAATACCCAATACTAATCGAACTTTTCTCTTTCTCGGCTTCATTCCGCAACAGGCGATGGTCACAAGCAGTTACGCGTCGGACAGTTGTGCACCCAAATTGGAACGCTAGCCATGGCAGTAGCCTACCGTACCAAGATGACTATTTCGCCCACGCAAACCGGACGGGACAATACGATCATGCTGAAGAGCGATCACTTCCTAAAGGATATCAGCCCCAAGCACATCCGGTACAATTTCAACAAGAAAAAGTGAGTATGAGTTGTCATTGTGAACGTCCTGCTACATCTTAGAACCGGGAGGAAGTTGGCGCCAAGTGGATACGGGTTGTCGAGGAACGGTAATGAGTTGGCAACAAATTGCTCATACAACGATTGTGATAAGAGGACTGTGTGTGATAAGGAAAGTGAATCAGGCTGGGTTTTTAAGTGGTAGTGAATTACAGAAAAAAAATGCAGGATCTCCAAAAGAGGATTGATTCGTAAAGCTGGGGCCGAATGGCGCCATCTGCTATAACGTCCCCGGAGGGATGGCATGAAAAAATATGAGCAATTTTTAAAATGTGAAGTGACATCTAAAAATAATGCAAAAACGAAGCTATTACCAGTGTCCTTATTTTTGCCGCCGACGCAAACGGCGGTGAATTGTGTGTGGGCCAAATATTTGCGGACAGTGCAGTGTATCTTCCTCGGCACGTTGTATGAATGATAGCTTCCTTCAGTTCGGAAACAATCGGATATGCGGGTTGAATCATAACTACACTACAGTGTGTATATTTTGATTGAACCGGGTGATAACGAGGCGCACTTAAAGGTCATCGTCAAAAGTGATTCTGTGATGAGAGGAACAAATTGGGAAAAGATTAACTCGCAAGTGTAAATGGCTAGATATATACGTGTGACTCAACCAAAAAATCGTTACAAAATTCCGCCACCCACAGTACGAAAGTGAATCGAACCGGATTGGGGGAAAAAGGCGAAAATTTTCAGCGGGGAGAAAAATTCAAATTCACCAGGCCGCATCCTCCTCCCTGGGTGCGTCCCTGTGGCGTGGCGAGGCCGCCACGTTGAGAGTGTGTGGGTAGGCACGGTACACGTAGCCATAAAAATAAAAGTCGTGCGAGTGTTGAAAATTGCCCGTTGCCGAAATACACGTCCGCATTTTGGGGCTCACAAAAATCGCACGGAAGGCCAATCGGTGGATAAGGATTGTGATGTGTGTTTAACAAAAAAAAAAGCAACAACAAAATAGTTCGGTGAATTGGTGAAGGCAGCTAGGTGGTTGTTTTTAACGAAATTGAATAATTTTTTTGATTGTGCTTTGCAGCTAAAATGCTGGTCATCAGATTGACGGGGAATGTCCCTTTGTCGCTGCTGATTTCAAGAAAAAAGAACGGACAATTACAGTCTACCGGTTGTGGTTCGTGTGAAGTGCATTAAAAGTCTTTTATGATTATGGCTATTGTAGTCCATAAAATTATGACGGTTGTGAAGAAAAATAATTTGAAGTGTGGCACTAGTGAGTGGAAATTTGCAAAGTTCGACCGAGTCCCAAACCTTTTACCGGAACCCCGCACGTATCGATTTATTGACACGAAGGGGAATTATTGGCAACAATATTGATGATGTGAATACAGAAATATTATCAATACCGATGTATTGACGTTAATATGTACGAAAATACGATTCACTTTTAAAATATACATTCAGTGTTGATGACAATCATTTTCCAGTCTTCAGCGATAGATCAATTATCTGTGTGAGTTTAAACTTTAACGTAATAACGGGCCATTGGTTAAAACTTCTTGCAAATTATCATCACTTTAACAAATATTTGCAAACGAATTTTTTTCCAAAATATCTTTGCCTGACAGTGGGAGTAGAACACCAGAACGGCACAGACAAACCGACATAATACTCGCAACTTATTCATCGAACACGCATTTAGCGGTCAATTTATTTTATATGGCTTTCTCAGTCGAGGGTAATCCAAACGGTCAGTTATGCATTGTTAGTAATACCGTCAACTGTAGCGCACATAGCTAATTCCCTTCCGTATGACACGTTTACATACTATCGCCATCTGTTGAGCGTACTGCGCGTCACAGTGTACTCAACAGATGGCGGTAGTGTCCTAGCGACGATTTTTCAAAATAAGAAATATTCAATGTGTTATGTCTGTTTGTCTGTGATAACGGGTTATTGGTTAAAAAAAAACTTTAAAAGTCAACTTCTGTTTTGGTTTATTCGTGATATGATGGATTAGTGAACAAACATTTTATGTGAAGGTTATTTGATCAAACCAAACACTAATTGCATTGCAATCCTAATTTCAGACAATTCGAAATCCATTAAATTTGAAAAAATGTATAGTTTTTTAAGCATGAGCACCATACTTAAGTATTCTGTGAAAAGAACACTTCCTTCTGATAGGCTGGTACAGTGAATCATTGAATGAAACTACCAGATTTTACCAATGGATCTCCAGTTTATAGCAATTGAAAATACTATTTGAGCCATACTACCTCTCAGTTTTTCATTTTGGCAAGTACTGAAGATACCATGTGAAGGACTTGTAAGGAACAGACTTAAAATAAAATGATAACTTAATAATGGAAGCGAAAAAGACGAACAAAACTACGATTTTGTAGAATCACGACACCGGTGTTTGTTCTTCTCTCAGAAAACCGCTCAAAATGTTCTCGCTTTGGCAACGAGATACCATGTATCATTAATATTTCCATATGCGACGGTATCATAAGACGATCTTGCCATGAACGAAGCTTTCCGGGAAGAAAGCATCACAAGTATGTAACCAGATTTATTACTTTTTTTTTGCCACAGTAGCTTGTTTGCCGAGGGGATTTCCATTTTTTTGATATTCCGTAGCTATCTGTGTGCTTTTTCATCCATGCCAATAAAACGAAAACCGGTCGCTGAAAAATATGACACAAATATCTGGTTTGTATTTCTTACGTTTGACTGACATCACTTTCTGGGAAAAATTCAAAAAGCGGTTAAATCAGTCAATGAGTTCAATTCATTCATTCCAAAACCGGAACATTTATCAGTGTACAATCTTAATAACTAACATCCCGTTGTTGGTTTTCAACAGCTTACTCCAGCCTAGCAATAGAGTGCATTATCACTTCAATTTAGCCAAGCTTGCAGTTAAAATTCCACCCAACTAGCTCATTCCGCTGATAGCAGACGGAAAGGTGATGTCAGCGCATTGACGAAGAAACTATGCTAACAAACTAATCGTCCTCTCCAGCGAGGTGAAGCAAGGTTAGTCCTCCACTCGGCAGGGCACTGCACTTGGGTGAAATAACTATTTTCTAATAATTCATGCATCACATGAGACATTCATGCTCACTGGGGCGATGTGAGTGCGGTTTGTATAATTATCTCTTAGCTTGGTGGAAATTGGTTGCGAAAGGCTGCTACAAGAAGTGATTAGAATTGAGTGTGTGTGGTGACACATGGCTGGTTGTCTTAAGTCGAGAAGGCCTCAACTATAGCCGTCATCGTCGTCGTCGTCGTCAATGGCGGTTGAGTAAGTTAAGTGGAAAAATGCCACTCTGGTCTGGCGATTATGAGATTATGTAATGCACGATTGCACACCCCAAGGGAAGTTGTGAAACATTTCCAACATGATTCGTTAATCTCTCTCGACGAAGCCCTATTGCAAGGTGATCCAAATAACCAAATCATTCAGGGCCAAAGAAAATTACCAAGTGTGAATCATCCACCACTATCAGTTTCAATCACCAAAGGGAGCTGTTGTCACACAGTTGCCACAGCAACGGTTTACTTTGACTTTACTATTTAGGTACGCACCCTCGACAACAACTGTGATGAGCAACGGTTTAGTGTGTACAATAAATATTCATGTAAACTAACGTCATCCGCCCTGCTGCGCACACATGCCTGCTCGAGCAAAGTACGAAATGCGTCAGAGTAGCCGCAGCATGTGGATTGTTCTGTGCACATTATGACCGGAAGCTGTCTTGAAATCTATTCCATATGTTCGATTATTGCTACTAGACTTACTACCTTATCGGAATGCATTTTTTTGTTTTCAAAAGAAACTGGCGCTTTGGAATTTTCCAGTATTTTTCATATCAGGTCGGATGGTCGTCAACAAGGTACAGGTAATGCCGGTTCAAGCCAGATAGCGTTTTATCAGCTTGTTTTTCTGAAAACATCGTCCGCTGATTATCGGTCATCTGTTAGCAAAACATCGATGGTAAAAATAGAAAATTGCATTCATCTAAAACAAGCACGCAATTGTTGTTATCACCCCTGTGGCTTTACGTAATCGCAATCTCCCCCAGCAGAGCATTTAAAAGTTTTTAATCAAACAGGCCGTTTGGCCGGCACACAATTATAACATTGTAAAAAGTAGGTTTTCAATTTCTCACCGCATCCTGTGATGCATAATGAAATATTCGTTTGTAGAACTAGTTCCAACACGCCTACTACGATGGCATCGACTAACTTTTACCAACTTTGTGGGCGTAAGTGAAACCAAGCTGTTTGCTATTTCAGGAAATTGTTATAAACTGCTTTTAGAATCAGTTGCAGTTCGAAATTAACTTTTCTTCATTCAACGGCAACATAATTTCGCTCTAGATTGAGCATCTGGTGATGGTACGCCAACGCCGACGCCCACTGCTCATTTGTCGCCGGTTGTATATGCCTACCTACTGCTACTACACATGAGAGCTGCTGTATGCAGAGTGTGCAGATTGACTCGCAATCGTGGGTTTTTAACCCACGCGCTCTGGACCATTGCTTGAGGGAGGAAAATAACATGATACATGTATTTGTCAACTAGAAGAAGTATATTTTTTCTACTGATGTTTTCAGAACGACAAAAAAAATTAAATTTAGAAAGCTTCACATACTTACAGCTAAACGAGAATAATATTTATTTAACTCTCTAAGTTCCAAATCAAAATCACATATTTTTTACTATTTGTGTTTTATGTTCCGCAATTTAACCAACATTCTGGTGAGTGGGTTGGTTTATTTCCTTTAAATTCCGTTATAATTGCTTGCTTCTCCTTTGACAGATACGCGTATTTCGTCTACTACTGCAGACTTCATCAGTGCCAAGTACTCAAAACCACTGAAGAATTTATCTTTTATCTACGAGTTATATACTAATCAATAAGTACTAAAAAATCAGCAGGTATCCACTGTCATGTCAAAAATTACCTAACCAGGTACCTAAATTCAGTCTCCAA